CTTATGAAGTGACCAGAGGTGGAGCCAAGGTTCTTTGTGGGAAATTTATAGTGCATGGAGAAGCTCCTCCCCAGTCAGCCCAGCTCAGCCCAACTGAAATCAGCTGACCGTTGGCTGGAGCTGAGGTCGGTTGTGGCAGATTTAAACTGCAGGGAGACACTGCTGCCAGCTAAGCCCTGCTCAGCCCAGCTGCCTTGCGAGGCCTAATCAGCTCACCAGGGGATGGAGTCCAGGTCATTTGGGTGATATAAACTGGTCCAGAGAGTGCAGGCGACCATGAGTGTGGCAAACAGGGCTGTGGCTCATCAGTGAGGGTGTGGCAGGGCAGTTTGGGCAGCAGGTGGCCCAGGCAGGGTGAGAGGGAAGGGCACAGCCACTCTCCCAGCTCTCTCTGGTGGCCTGTGAGGTAGGTGTGTGGCTGTCTGTATTTTTGTGGAGTCAGAGTGCCAATTTCAGCACAGGGCTCCAAAAAGCCAACAACAGCCCTTTCCCCAGGACAGAAAGCCTGTAAGCTTTGGTTTTCAGGTGCAGTTGGTGAGGCAGCCTGGGCACTCCGTGGGCAGCAAGAGCTTTCTGTGGTGGCACCTTTTGTCTGGGAGGAATCTTGGTCCACGTTCAGTTTTCGGAGTTGGACTGGCAGTTTAAGCGCAGGGCTGAAAAAAGGGAACAACAGCCCTTTCCCCTCAGGGTCTCCCCCAGCCCCGCCCACCTGCCCGGCACCGGCACAGCCCTGAAGGAGCTCCACAGGAGCCGCCTCTGGAGGCACCTCCCAGCCCTCAGCAATCCAGACAGCAACACACGGGCAGGCCACAGCTGCTGCTTCCTGGCTGGGACAGGGCTTGTGGCCACCTCCAAGGACCAGGTTCTCAAGGATCCCCACAGCTCCAGGCTCTGCCCATCCACTCTCCCGGAAGTGTTGAGGCTCCAGCAGAACCCCCCAAGGGCAAGGGGCTTTGTTGCACTTTCTCTTCCCCACTGCACACCTGGGCAAGTGTTGCTGAGCACAGGGACCCCTTTTCCCCTCTTTCCAGATGCCCTGTGGACACCAGGCACCTAAAAAAGCTCCTGGACTTCTGTGTATGACATTCTTTATTTATTATTCCTATGCTGGGGTAAAAGGAAGGGCTTCTTCCCCACAGGCTCAGGTGGCTCCAAGAGACAGAGCTGCCTGGATCAGCTACAGCAGCACAGGCAGACACAGCCCCACAGAGAAGGCCGGCTATTCCATGCCCTGCGGAGCTGGTCTTGGAGCTGCTGGAACCTGGAGCGGGGAGCTGGAGCTCTCTGTACAGCTGTTACAAAGTTGATGTTTTCAAGTGCCAGGTTTGCGACAGCGGGGCTCCTGTCATCTCTCATGGCTTGAAGGGCTGGAACAGAGAGGAACAGAGCCAAGGTCAGAGCCCACATCGGTGGGGATCTGAGGAGCCCCTCCTGCCAGGGCCATCCCACCGAGCTCTTGGGGTTGCCAGGAGGGAGCAGGGCCCAGCGGGATCAGCCAGAAGGCGTTGGCCACCAATACCCCCCATGCCCTGGAATCTGTCTCTGCTCTGCCCACGCCGCCCCTCATCCGTGCAGGGAGCAGAGCCCTCTGCAGCCGCGGCAGGATTGCAACTCCCTGCCCAGAGTCTGTGCTCCTCTGCCAGCCCCCACTGCCCTCACTCACCGTCAATGATGAACTGCAGCTCTCTGTACTGTCCCCTCAGGTACCCCCCGGCGATCCCTGCAAACACAGATGCTGTCAGGGCCCCAGCGGCACAGCTCCCCCCCCCCCAGCGGTGCTGCCGGCCCGGCCACGCGCCCTTCTGCCTCAGCTGGGCTGAGCCGGGGCCTTCCCGCCTCGGGACACCCCAAGGCTGGGCTGGCAGAGGGCAGCAGGAGCCACCAGGGCACTCGGGGCTCCACAGCACATCCCTGGGCTGCATCCTGCTGCCACTGCAGCAGCTGGGGCTGGGGCCAAGCTGCAGGGGGGCAGGGAGGGACCGCGGGCTTGTGGCTCACCCATGAACTTGATGGCTGCCTCTCGCAGGGGCTGCTGTGGGCTCCGCAGGTATGGAAGGGCCTGGCGCACGTACTTGGTCACTTGGCTCCGGTCCCCTTTCAGCTGGAGAGAGCAGCAGAGCACAGAGGGAAGGGTTGGCTGGGGCTCTGCCCCTTGGCCGGGCACTGCCTGTACCCAGCACTGGCCTTCCCTGCCCACACAGCCCTGAGGCCCGGGCAGCAGCCACTGGGGCTGGGCTTTGGAGGGAGCAGAGGGCTGGCTGCTCCCTGGCAACCGCGGGGCCGCCCTGCCCCACAGCCCAGCTGGGCCGGGGCTCCAGCGGCACCCTGGCTTGGGGGCAGAGGAGCCTGGAAAAGAGCCCACATGCCCCAGGGAAGGCAGCAGCGTGTGGGGCGCAGGCTGCTGGCCCACAGGCGGGTGCAGCGGTGGGCAGGGGCACAGTGCCAGCCCCACACTCTGGGCATCGGGGACTGGGGCTTTGAGGCCGTCCTTACCAGGCACTCCGCAAACCTCCATGGCTCCTCTGTGTTGACCAGGCGCTCAAGATCCCTCCTCTTCAGGAACCTGGTCACAGCCAGCAGTGCTTTCTGAGAGGCCTGCAAAGCAACAGAGACCAGGAGATGGCACCGCAGCCCAGGGCACAGGACCCGAGTCCCTGGACCAAGGCCAGGAGGAGGCTGGAGCCTGGGAGGTGCCAGGGCAAGAGGCAGCCCAGCCCCCTCCCACAGGGACACCAGAGCCCAGGAGTCCTCACCTTTTTCACGACCAGGTTCTCATCATACCGGTGGAGGTAGAGCGGGAGCAGGCTCAGGCACACGTGAGGGTTCAGGCGCCTCTTTCCCGCTCTCTCTATCAGTTGCATCACATGAGTGAAGATGACCATGGAGCCCTCCCGCACACTGCGGTCGTCCTAGTGGAAAGAAAGAGGAAAAGACCTCAGCACCAGCTTCTCCAGGCCCCACTGAGCACAGGCCTCAAAATCCACAGGGACCAGTTTCCCAGCAGTACCCAGAGCCTGTGGGGGGGGCACAGAGCCTTACGTGGTCAAACAGTGGCCGGAGCGCCTCAGCCAACTGCAGGCCGATGCGGGTGGATATCAGGGGGTCTTCGCTGTGGACTCTCTTCTGCAGCTGTTTCCAGACACTGCTCCAGAGCACATTGTCAAGCACAGAGAGGGTCATCCAAACCACATCTCTGTCTGCATCCCCCAGGAGCTGCACGAGCCTTTCATTCAGGCTCCAGATGTTCTTGGCCTGTGAGGAACACAAGGCTGTGCTGTGAAGGCATGAATGGCTCCATCACCAACCCCGCTCCAGCGGGGCAGCCCCACGTGCTGCCGCAGGGCCCAAAGGCCAAAGGCCTGTCCCGAAGGACTTGGGCAGCTGAACGGGGAGGCAGCAGAGCTGGGAGCAGCTGCCACAGCTCCTGAAGCCCAGCCAAGCCCAAGCGACTGCACTCCCCAGCCCCAAGATTCCAGCACGGCTTCAGCCAACTGCCCCTTCTCACCATCGTGGGATCCTGGCTGAGCGCCATGAGGACTCTGAGCGCCAGTTGACGCCACTTTTTGTTTGTGCTCCCCAAGTTCCTTGCAAGGATCTCCAGCATCCTGTCACCACATTTTCTTGTGTCCAGGCAGTCCAGGACCTGAAAGGCATGGAGCAGTGACGGGGTGCCCGGCCGGCAGGAGCCCAGACCCGCCCAGGGCTGGGCCCAGGCAGCAGCACAGGGAGCGGCACCATCCCGGGCAGCTGCGGCTGCGAGAGGGCAGAGAGGTAGAGGCAGCTCTGCCAGGCAGCGCTCGCCATCAGGCTCACCTCCACAAGGAATGCCATGGCAGGGAGGTCCCAGCACGGCTCCTCCCTGCGCAGCAGCTCCAGCAGGTGGAGTGTGATGCGGGAACACAAGGGGCTGCAGACACGGCGCATCTCCCTGGCAGGGGGAAAAAGACACCACTGACCCCGAGCCGGGTGGGCAAACCTCTCCCAGGATGGACTCACAGAGGCCTGGTCTTTCCCCACCAGCCTGGGAGGGGACGAGGGCACTCTGGGAGGCGGCTCCTCCTGTGCACCCGCCTCTCCCAGCCTTTTCCACTCTGCTCGGCCATCCCTCAGTGACAAGGCCCACGTGTGAGGGGTGCCCCGTGCACAGACAGAAATGACAGGGGCAGCGAGGACAAGGGGGTCTCACCTGGCCAGCAGAGCCGCTGCGTAGCGGCGGCTGCGAGCATTGAGGAGCCTCGCCCAGCCACGATTTTTTTCCACCGATTTTACCACATCCTCACAGTGCAGACAGCAGAGCAGAGTCTTCATGGTCAGCACTGCAAACCTGTGTGCAGAGCAAAGCCAGGTCATGTTGGGAGCCCTGGCCCCAGGCCCGAGGGCATGGGAGGGAGGGGAGGACTGGGATGGAGCACCTGTTGGGGTTGGTGGGAAGGTCATGTTGCTCCTGGCATCCCCTCCAGAAGGTGTCGATCTCTTCTGACATCTGCTCTGTGCTGACGAAGATTTGGAAGAGCAGAGCCACAAGGAGATGAGGGGAATAGTCCATCAACGGCCCTGGGCACTGGAGCTCTTGGAGAATCATCCAGAGTGCCAGAGTTGCCTGCAAAAGACAAACCACCCGGACACAGCGCTCAGTGCCCAGACTTGCATGTGGCAGGGCCC